TCATGCAGGGACTCCAAACTGTAGATCCACTCTTCCAAGGCTTATTCCTCACGTAAAGTTGCAAACTTTTCCTCACGTAAAGTTGCAAACTTTACGTGTAGCTAAGGAGATCTAGGCCCAAAACACTCCATACTCGGGTTTAAGACAACCATGCTTCACCTACACCCCCCAAGACTGATAGTTTATGACTCTCTAGGCCAGAATACACTTAGATCTGAAGTAGCAACTTCAGATCTGGACTTCTAACTCCAATTGGCTCTAGGACATGGCATAAAAGCCCCAAATCTCAAGACAAAAAGGAAACTATGAGCAAAGGAGTGAAGGTAATGACTTCTTACATTCAAATGCTCTGAAAAGTCACACCAACTCTGGATCTAAGGCTTCCTCTTGCACCACTATGAAGTTCCTTCTCTTCTAAGCTTCAAATCGCAACTCCAAGGCTAGATCTTTGCTCAAAACGGATATGGTGGCTAGGGTTCGATGTTCTGGATGAGAAAAGGTGTAAAGGAACCCTAAGGAAAAGAATAAGGTGCTTAAATAGTGCACAAAGTCCCGGATTTAGGGTTTCCCTCTTCAGACCGGACTCGCCGAGTCCATACTCCGACTTGCCGAGTCGGTCACTTACTCCTCGACCTGGATCCCGCTCGGACTCATCGAGTTGCTCCTTGGACTCGACGAGTTGACCCCCCTTGACTTAGGGTTTTCTTTCCTTTCTTGGTCTTTCTGATTTTCGGGTGTTACATAAAATATACTGAATTTCGTAGAATTTACAACAATCTTACCAACCTACACAAAAGTGGGTCAAACGATTTTGATGTGCTTAACACGACCATGGAACAACATGCAAAATCAATAGTAACCTGCAAAGCTTTTCCCTATGTCAAACTTTGGCTAAATTTACATGATGCTCTAAAATGGATACGTATGACACAAAGGACTTCTTCTGGTTCGAAACCATTGGAAGTTCGAAACAATCAGACGGTCGAATACATATTGACATCATTGATGAGTCGGTAGATGTTGAATATGAACAACCTCTTCGTCGACCGATAAGAAGAAACTGAGCAAAGAAATCAGCTTCCTATTCGGGTTCAAAAAAATCGAGTTCTAGCGTTATCGATCATTTTAGAGAAAAATTTGATTGATATGTCCAAATACAAGCGAGCAAAGCCGCGATGATGAGTTGGGTGGAACAAACAATGATAGACGTGCAAACCTCGTTACAAACGAAAACCGATTTTGAGATATTGAAAATGAAAGATGAAGACCACAAAGACGAAAAATTGAAGATATTTCTCCATCCAAGCTAGATATAGGAATAAAGATTAGTTTTTTTTTCTATGGATAGGATTTTTATGTTCTTTTTTTAGTTCTTTGGACTTTTTTAATAAATGTATTTGTTTTTAGTTTTATAAATGAAAAACTAATTTAAAAAATATGTAGGTATTTTATTTTATTTTTTATTTAGTTTTAAATAAAAACGATGATCAGTAGTGATGGCTATAACAAATATAATGTAGTTGTATGTAGTGATAGGGTATCACCCATTGTATTTGTGGTTATTGATAAGTACTCTACAATGCCTTATGCGACTCATAAGACTGTGTATTGTATTCTTCTTTCATTTTTCACCAATTATGTAGAACGTTAGCGCCATGATCTGATCCAAACCCTTAAGAATTATATGGGTTTGCATATTTTTTGATTTTTTTACCCATTAATGATCATACCCGCTAACCCTTTTTTCAAAAGGGTTAGGTATGGAGCATCACTAATCTATTTTATTTATAACCCTCCCCGTATAAATTTTAGAATTATACATTTATATTTTATACCGCCTAAAGTTTAATTTTACTTCCATTTGAAAGTCAAAATAACAAAGACCAAATTCCAAACTGTTTTTATATAGGACTCGAGGAGTCGACTTCCAAACTTTCAGTCTTCTACCAAACATCATGATGTCATTTCATTTATATTTCATCAAACAATCATCAATTTCATGTATATGATAAATCAATAAAGTCATTTATCGTTTGAAAGAAATTTTGCAATTGCTATTCTCTATCACTGCAATCGACGGTAAAAATTCAATCCGAAGCTACTACAATATTGATTTAATTCCAACGATTTCTAAATCAACTTTTGTTTTATTTAAGAAATGTGATATATAAAGAATTAAGTCAAATGTGTTTGATTATTCAAAAAAACATATGGGTTATATGACGGGTTTGGATATTTGTTGATTCGATGAACAAAGGTATGAGTTTGATTATTCAAAATCTTTTGAACTATGAAACAGATTTGGATCATATTTTGAAATTTGTTAAAATGATTTGGATCAAGATTCACCCTATTGCCAGGTCTACCCATGTCACTCTACTTTTGAATTTTAATACTCATAAATCATGTGATCGACATAAATTAATCAATTTGATATGCTCAAAGATACGAGCAACGATTAAGATGGAAATAACATGGGCATTTATAGAGAATGCACTTCTAGCAAAATAATGATAATCCATGAAGCACACCACATATACATTATTTTCTGTAAGATGAATGTACCTTTGGGAATATTTATAATCCCAATTGATCCTTTCTATAAATGAACTTAGGTCATCTCTAATACGTTAAACTCTTAAGAGTTTAATGGATTGCTACATCAACGTTCCACTAACTATATCATTTTATTCATTAAACTCTACACTCCATTAAACCCTTAAGAGTTTAATGAATTTCCACATCAACATTTAATTATATATTTTTCTAAATAATGTTGTAAAACTATAATATTACGTTAATTAGAAATTAAAAGTTACAAATTGTAAATTATTAATTAATGATTGTTGTATATGTTATTGTTTTAAAATATTTTTAAGATTTAAATATTTTTTGTTTAGAATATTATAATATAAATTACCTTGATAATTTAAATTATTCAATATAACATAAAGTAAACTACAAATATTATAAATAAGAAAATAATGACATATACCTTGTGTATATAAATAAGAAAATAATGACATATACCTTGTGTATATATCGTAGGGTGTAATTATTTAAATAAAAAATTTTATTGGTGAAATGGTTTAAAAAAAAAAAACAAAAAAAAACAAATTGCTTATTTAAATAAAAAAAAAAAAAAACAAACTCTGGGTTTATGTATTCAACTCTCTTTTTCCCCATTAAACTCACCATTAAATCCCCAATGTAAAATCGAATTTGATACAAAATTTATTCATCATTCGTTGGGTTTGATAAGAAATCCAATAAACTGATATTTCAAAATAGACAATCAACGTATAATTTTACTCCATATTTATAATTTGTAATTTATTCATCATTCGTTGGGTCTTACATTATAATTTGTAATTATAATTTGAGTAAAAAACACACACGTGGTAGATAGTACATAAAGTTAACATAGTTTCGGTTAATGTTTATATTATGATATGTAACTCATATTATAAACTAAACTAATAACAAAGTACACTTAAACGTTGGTTTGAAACTTGTATTTACTATAGTAAGAATTAGTCTAAGGTATGTCTTCTATTTGTAATATACTTATTTATAACTGTATATAGATATAGATTATACCAATTTGTCTAAGAAAATAGAAAAACAATTGATCAAAATATTAGGGTGCAAAACTGTAACAATTAATAAAACAAAGGACCATAATGACAACTTTGGTGTGACTAATATACACCAATCGGGACTCGTAAGTTCCCAAGAAGAAAGGGGATTTGAATTTGATGCTCAGACAGACATGAAAGAGGCTCCGGCAAGTGAGATCGAGGTTTTCAAGGGTGGTTGCCTCTCGTTCTCCGCCGTATGACCAGATCAATGCCATTGAGCGCCGATCGGATCATACGAGCCAATGATTTCATTTTCCCTTTTTTCATGAACCATAACAATCAACAACTTGTATGATCGAACACAAAAGAAAGCTAATTTCCACTCACCAACAGGTGTGTGAGTGTGAAATTTCCAATCGCTTCTTTTGTTTTTTCTTCACGCTCTTTCGGTTCGCTTTCATTCATCATTCTGCTTCCATGTTCCTTTCTTATAATTTGTCCCCTGTAGATTGGATTTGGTTATAAGGAGGCTGTGATGATTTCGTTTTTTTGTAGTTGATCTGAGCATCAGATTGGAGAAATGGTGAAATTTCAGCCCGTATCTTGGCGGGGTAACCGTTGTTGCAGCCATGGCGGTGCTGGCCCATTTTTTCCGATCAAAATAACAGATCTGAGCCTCAAATGTTAATTCTACCTTTGTGCCGATGATTTTCTGTTTCAAGTTTTGTGGGTTTTTTAGCGGCTGTGACGATTGATTTAAAACTGGAAAACTCCGGCGCGGCGGTGCCGGTGGTCACAGGGTGGCGAGTTCAGGAATCATAAATAATAACCCGTTATTATGTTTTTATTTTTTGAACATCAAAATGAGTTATATAATACTATTGGCATGATTTTGTAAGATCATTTTACTTCAAAATTTATAGGAAACAAATGTAACTCAAGAAATGCAATTCAAACTTATTTATTGTTTTTAAGTGTGGGTTCAATTTCGATAATAGGACATCAAGAAATAATTCAAGCAATCGTTCATAATAACTCGGCTATAAAGAAATACCCAAACAATAATTCAAATATTCTTTCCAATAAAATGGAAAATTTACTCATGAGTTTTCCTATCCAAAATTTATCTTTTGATGTCTTAATATAAGAAATTATATGGAAAAGTTTCATGTATTTGAAACTATACCAATAAAAATTAGGGTGTGATTTTGACTCAAGACTTGATTAAGTGTAAATTTTGAAGAAATGAAAAGAGTCATACTTGAACTTTAATTTCTTATATTTGTGATTTAATCATTTTAAGAATGTAACTAGGGATGTAATTTGTACAATTTGATGTTGGAACAGAGTTTTGAATTCAAATTAGACAACTTATAGAAGTATTTTTTATAGTTTTTACTTGTTTTTGAGAGCTTAAACTTTTAGCTTTTAAAAAATATCAAATCCTTAAAACTTTTAGTTAAAAAAACATTACAAATAAAACATAAACATAGACATCATGAGTAGTATTATGGTACATGGGATTTAGGCTTTAGAAATAGTAGACACAAATATTACATGTAATTTATCTCCAAATGATTCAACACATGAAAGTGAAAAACCTTTTACTTAAAATCAAGTGAAAAGTGTGTCATAAGAATTTCTATACTCATAATATTGTGCAACATTGATTTGTCTTCTTTGCTTGCTTGTAGAACATCTGTTTATCACAATCATCACATTTAATTTGATTAAATATAGTTTGAAATATTAAACTATATGCATTTCAAATAACTAAAAGTAAAAAATTATTCATAGTTATTTTTGGAAAGTAATAAACATGTACCTGTGAAGCTGCACTGAGATCTGAACTCTTTTCAACTAAACTGTCAAGTTTTACCCCTCTTTCAAGAACACTATCAATGGTTTTATGCTGTAAAAAAATACAACAAAGCAAAATAAATTAAAATATCTCACATGTTTATATATAAAATATGACAATAAAATACGAATATGCTTACAAGGATAATTTTGGTTTCATCTAACTCCCTCTGAATTTTCAACAGCTTATCTGCCTCAGCAGGATCCTAAAGAGATAAAAAAAAAATCAATTAAAGAAGCTTAAAGATTAAGATTAAGAAATTAAAGTCTAAAAAGTAGAAATTTACCTGAAATTTGGTTAAAGCTTCGTTTAGATAAGGCCAAGGTTGGGTGCTATCAGCTTGTATTGTCCTCCATGAATCACCAAAACACTTTTGATACTCATCTATTACCTGATCAAGAACAAGTAGTATAGTCATCTGAATCTTCTGAAAGACAATTTGTTCTTAAGATGGAAGTGATATGGATGATTTACCTTATTCAATACAGAGAAAGCACTTCTAACAGGGTAGTGATCATCCATGAAGCCCACCACACATAGACCATTTCTGTTGTATGAATGCACCTTATACTCTTTACCACAGATTAAACAAATTCAATTAGCTAATAGTCAGATCATTTCTTCAACGAAAGCAAAGATCTATAATTTAACCTAATACTAGTCCAAATCCAAACTCCAAATCTCATATGATATCGAAATTGGTAGAACAATGATTGGTTAAAAACTTAAAATTATCATCAAGTGATCAATTTGTTGAGAAATCGAGTAAGATGAAAGTGAAAGACAAACCTTCGTGTTGGACGGATTGGCGTTGATCGGGAGGGGTGCGTTTGGCGACGGTCCGACCAACGAAGACGATGAACTGCTTGACGGTGACCCTCTGGAAGTACCCAAAATGACTCACATCTGTCGCGTTTGCTAGTATCACGGGTTCCGATCCGTCGGATCTCGCGTCGCACTTCAACACTAGTAACGCGGTGATCTTCATCTTCTTCCCCCTTTCTTCGGCAAATGACTGAATCTAATTGAGACAAATCAGAGGAGTAGGGTTTCAACTACAGAATTGAAGATGGTGAGTAGGTGGTCTATAATGGACAATAATAGTGCCGAATTCGTGGGTCGATATGAAGGATAATAGTGATTCTAGATATGAATTTCTGAATTGCGTTGTAATGACGATCGAATATAGGGGAACAAATCTTTAGGTTTTTGCTTTATGAACTTAAAAAAAGGGGGTTGGATTCGTATTTTAAATCTACCGACTTCGCTTCAAAAATCATCCAGCCGTCAACACTACAACCGGACCAAGTAAAAAGTTGGGGTGTCTAGACGTAATCTTTTTTAGTCGACAAAATTATAAAGGGATAACGACCTAATTTATTTTTTGAATTTGTATATATTTTGTAAGGGAGTTTTTTTTTTTTTTTTTTTTTTTTTTTTTTTTTTTAATTAAACTATACATATTCAGATTTTATGACTTATTATTCCAGATTAACCGAAAAAAATGATTTAATTTCTCATTTTGTACACATTTAATCCTTAAAATTTTTGTACGCATTTAGTCCTTAATATTTTTTGTTTCAATATATATATATATATATATATATATATATATATATATATATATATATATATATATATATATATATATATATATATATATTTGTACTCATTCAGTATTTATGAATGATTTTTTTAGATTTTTCTCACGACATTTTACGTGGGACAATCATTGATGAGGTGTTTGAAGTTGTTGATGTTTATGTTCAGCGCGATCCCGACTGCTTGGTTGTGTAGGTCTTGTGGTTTGGCTTAGGTTTTATGTCCTGAATGTCATAACTTCTTCATATGATATCAGATTTTAACGATCTTTATATCAACGTATTCGTTTTTCGAGTCTACTACAACTTTCGTTAACATTACTGCTGTTAAAATGTAATATATTTTTACTTACAATTTTATTAAAAAAACATTCATAATAAACGTATGAATATAAATATTGTAAGTAAAAATATATTACTTTTAATGGGGGTAATCTGAACCAAAGTTGTAGTAGACTAAACTATGAACGCATTGATATAAAGTTCGTTAAAATCTGAGATCGTATGAAGAAGTTATGACATTTATAACACATAACCTAAACAACAAAGTAGTCGAGATCACGATGCACATAAACATCAAAAACCCCAGACACATCGTTAATCAATATTTTAAAAACCGGTTTTTTAATTGAACCGGTCGGGTGATGTTTTCCAGTTTAACCGGTTCAACTGGATGGTCAAACCGGTTCTATATATGTATATGTTTTTAATTATCCTGCATACATTAATTACAAAACTTGTCATCTTTTTAGTATTACAAACGTAAATAGAATGCTAACATATAAAAACAATCACTATAAAAGTCAAAATCAAACAAAGAAGCCAAAACAAACACAAAAATCCAAAAATGTCCGGTTTAACCGGTCCATTATGGTTCAATTCAGCCGGTTGAACCGGTTTTTTACCAAAACCGGCCGGTTCAATCCGGTTAGGAAATCATTATAAAACCGGTCCAAATCGAACCGCCCTCACCTCCGGTTCCTGGTTCGACCGGTTCAATCGGCCGGTTCGAACCGGTTTTTAAAACACTGTCGTTAATGATTGTCCCACGTAAGATGTCGTAAGAAAAACATAAAGAAATCATTGATAAGTATTGAATGAATACAAAACAAAAGAACTTATTTTGCAACAAAAAAAATATTAAGGATAAATGTGCACAAAAATACTAAGGATCAAATGTGTATAAAGTGAAAAATATCTTTCCCTATTAGGTCGTTTTTACTGGCTAACCTAGAGTAGCCGGTCATAAGAACTGAATATGTACAGTTTAACAAGTTGAAGAGGTAAATGTGGAAGGAAAAAAAACTCAGTGACCAAATGTGTACAAATCAAAAAATATATTACCCTTTTAAGTCATTCAAATAATAAGGCATGACAAAAGTAGCTGATAGCGAATAACTTCTAGTTGGTAGCGTCTTGTTAAACAGCACATGAATTATCATTGGGATTTGACTTAAACTAAACGTTAGAAGCTTATGGTGACAAACGAGACTTTCTGTATAAAACGAAATGTTTTGTCAAACGTTAGAAACTAAAAGCTCTCAAATGCTCCGTATCGACTGCCGAACACACCCTTAATGTTTTAATGGTTTAACTATGGATATCTTACATAGTTTTTGGTCTCTATCTTGTTCTAAGATGCAGACCTGTCCCAGAGGTGGACGACAGGGGCGACCGTCCAGGACTTATCTTCAATTTTTTTTTAATAAGACAAAACTTTATAAATGGTCCACCGCGTAGTGAAATGACGGAAATTTCATTCATTTAACGGACAAATACCGACGGAGTAAGCCACAATAACTTTTTTTTTTTTTTTTTAACTTTTGAAACCATAAGGACCATGCGTGAAGTTTTTTAAAGTTAGAGACAAAACTTCAGATTTTCTAAAATCACAAAGACCATTTATGAAGTTTTGTATATTTTATTTTTATCCATATTAATGTTAATAACTTAATATAAACCCTCTTATTAACTCATTTAAATAAATTGTTTAAAACTTTAATAAATTCACATGCTTATTAACTTAGTAAATAAAGCTTAGTCAATGAGGGTGACGTTTGGTATGGTCATATATTTAGTGTTGTAAAATTAAAATTATCGAAAAAGTTTTTTAAGTTAAAAAAATTATTATCTTTATATAATTTACAAAATTTAAAAAACAAATAGCTTTTTTCTTACTGATTGCAAATATTTATCTCACATCTTTTTCTGTAGATGTGGTTGATAGACTATATATGTTTACTTATTCAAAAACAAAAAACACCTTAATCTTTGATGACTTCCTCACATTGCTACCAATTTAATTTTATTGTTTAATTTATTTAACTAATAATTTATCCAATCAGCGTATTTTATTAGTTACCAATAGCATCATTATTTTATAATTAATTGATAAAATTTAATTTATTAACACCACTAGAGGATCGGGGAAAAACCCGAAATTATGCCTGACAATCGTGTCGTGTTCGGGTTGGCGTGTCGCGGGTTGACGGGTTGGCGGATCAAAATATACCAACCCAAACACGACCCATTTAAATATACAGGTCACGGGTTGGCGGGTTTGGAACATAAACTCATATATGACCCACCAACCCATTCATTTATACGGGTTCACAAGTTGGTGGGTTCGCGGGTCAGATTTGGGTTCGTGGGTCTAAATTTTAGATATTTAAGTCTTAAACATCCAAATGAAAATTAAAAACATTGATAGAAACATGTTACAGACTTAGCCTTATAAGTTACGACTTATGATCTTAGATCATCCACCACGAGTAATAATATCAAAACAATCAGATGGTTTATAAATAAATGGTATATATTATATAATACTTATTAATATTAATACTTGACATATAAATACATTTAAAAATAAGAATATAAACGGGTTGGTGGGTCAACCCATTTATTTTTTGAGAAACCCATATATGACCCATTTAATAAACGGGTTGGCGGGTTGAAAAACTCAACCCAAACCCATTTATTTCGTGTTGTGTCGCGGATCGTGTTGCGTGTCGTGTCGAGAATTGCCAGCCCTACCCGAAATGAATCAAAAATCCGAAATCCGACGGGGATAACCTAAATTAGTTCACACATTGACCGAACTAAACCCAAAAAAAACCCGGATGATTGGACCCTTTTGATCCGCATCTAATGGATCCTATGGTTATGGACCATGGCAAACGAGTCCAGAATACAATTGGGCTTAAAGCCTAACCCACACAAATGAAACCCTAGCTATATAAACTAGTCTCAAAGCTTTGCCTCCGTCTGTCGTCTGAGCACACCACACCAGGGAAAGAAGCAGGAGGATCTCCATTCTCCGCCATGGTAATATCTCTCCCCATGGTTTTTTTGTTTACTGTTTGTTCCTTACGAATTACAAACCCTAATTCGCTTCTATCTGGCATTTAGAACTTTTACATTTTAGGTTTCGTAAAACCGTAATACTTGGTTAATTTTGATTTCGAAGCATCTATATTTCGTCTCTGGGGCATTTGCGGTTTTGGCTTTTAAATGTTTAATTGCTAAATCGATTTGCTTTGATCCAAGCTACTTTAGTACGTCGAAAGCTGAGATTTAGTTATTGAAGATAGAAAGCGTTTCGATTATGTACAAATTCACAAAATGAGAGTAATGAGAGTTGGAATTCAATTCCTTTGAATCCCGTATTCGGGTAGGTTTCAAATGAGTATGGAATTCAATTCCGGACTCCACAAATCTACTTACCGATAGGTTTCATCATTCCTTCCAATATCCCATGGAATTCGATTTCTGCATCCCGTTGTTAAATAAAGCTACCTTTTTAACCCTAGATTGATTTCAGTTCTTAGAGATTCCAATTCCACAAGATTTCCCTTAATTGAATTCAACCAAACACAGCAAAAACTGTATTTTCTAGATTTGATATTTGAGTTTTCTTCTTTTAAATAAGTCGATTTTTTCGTATACAGCCGTCACACAAGTCATTCATGATCAAGAAGAAGCTTGCGAAGAAGATGAGGCAGAATAGGCCCATTCCTCACTGGATTCGCATGAGGACTGACAACACCATCAGGTCAATTTTACGTTTTTACCCATGATTACACTTAAAAATATCATCTTTGGTTAAAACTTTAAAGCGATAACTAGTGAAACTGCTTTGGGGTTCTTACATGCTATAAATTTAAATCAGGTACAACGCAAAGCGCAGACACTGGCGTAGGACTAAGCTTGGATTCTGAGGTGTTTACGATTTTGAATTATGTGTTTTTTTATTATTGTAATAGGGATTTTGATGATACCCTTGTTTATTGACAAATTAATTTTGTAGTTTAACCTTATTTTTGTTTTGGTAAGAAAATGTTGTGTTATCGTTGATTGCTTGTTAATTTGCTTGAATATATAATTAAATTATAACAAAAATAAGCCAACAAGAATAAAATGGTTGATGTATTTCGGACTGAAGTCATCAAACACTTTCTTTTAAGTTAGCATTGTGGATGAAAATAGACAAGTTTGAAGCACTTTGTTTGTGAAAAAAATGTAAACGACGATTAAGTGCTACAAAAGATAAGGTTGCATATAATTTTCAAGTTTGTAAATTACCGGAAAATCATGCTCGATCACACAGTCATAATTGATCGTTTGAGTGTTTATATTTCATTGAGTGCTTATATTTCATACAGTCAAACATGAATAGCAAAAGTGTGTTCTAGATTTGGGAGGGTACCCCGAAGAAAACTCTATAAATTTTTCTGTACTGTTATAATTGATAAATTTCTCTATATTGTTATAATTGAGAGAAGAATGATGACCGTTACACATATAAAGACAAATGCCAACAACAAATAGAACAGTTTTTTCCTACATAATATAAAGGTATTGGATCTTATTACTAATATATTATTTTGTAGATTCGTATGTTTCAAACACATTTGCGTATTCTTTGTAACACTTGTTATCTGATATGTATTTGTTAAGTTATTCCTTTTATTTTAATTTGAGAATTAGGGCTTTGCTATGGGGCACAAGACGTCGTTTCTTGGTCGTGTCGCAGTTATGCCACACAGGGCGTGATACGCCTAAGTGTTATGCGTGACATACTACCGCAAAGCGCTAACCCTACTCTCGGGCATTGAGCCCTATTTAAGGGCACTAACTCCTAAGGTTTTGTCTTTCATCAGTCTCCACCCCCTGACATCCAAAGAACAAATATAAGGCCATTTTCCTTCCATCTTTTAGAGTTAATACTTTATGTTTTTCCTTTGGTGAAGAAGCAAAGAGTTTGTGACTCCAAGAAGCTAGATCTAGAAGCATTTCAACCTTCTAAGCATGTTATGTACCCTTATAAGTATTCAAGCTCCATGATTTATGCCATTTGGTTAGTAGATCTAAGGTTTTTAGCTTATTTTGGATCCCTTTATGTTGATTGAGTGGAGTTTGGAAAACTCCTATTCCAAAGGCTATGTCTTGTGATATTTTGGATCTATTGTGGTGCTTAGAAATGAATCATGGTTAGTAGATCTAAGATTTTTAACTTGGTCGAGGTTGACGCACCAGCCGCTGATGAGGACCCGAAAGAGGGTCAAGATAACGGTGAGGAAAATCCACGATTTTTATGGTCTTTTGGGTTGGGGAAGACCCTCTGGAAAGTCTCAAGGAGTGGCTTCAGGGCTTAAGAGATTAAGAGGTTAATGCTCAAAGCTGTCTAGAACAGATCTCACAACATGAGAAATA